GAAAACATGCTGATAACAAGATCACGTCAGCCAAGAGCGCCGTTGGACATCGTTGAAAATATTGCCAGTAGTCTCTTCGGCGTTTTAGAGTCTACCTAAGCTGATAAAATGGTGCAAACGATAACAAAGGTTAGGGCGAATAAGAAGCATTTTCTTACTTTGTTAAAAAATCAAACATCTTTGATTGACTCTACAATGAGATCTCGAATTCCAAGCGTTTAAAAAGGATAGAGAATTATATCGCAGAAAGAACTGGTACTGAAAGTAGATTTAATAAATTTTCATGGTACATAACACTTGCGACTCAACTCTCTCTATTAGTCTCTAGTTTGCAAAGAATGCAAACCGAGATCATAAACGTTTTAACAGATATTCGGCATAACACAAACAGTCTAATGTTGCTGTCACAAAGGCAATTAAAGGATCAGTTAAATCAGATACGAAATCTTTTAAAGCCTGGACATATGCTTCCAGTCTCACCTGATAATATATTAATGGCATATCAGATGATGAGGGCTGAGGGAACCATCATAAAGGGGCATGTTATCATCAACGTAAATTTGCCTTTGGTATCTGCTCAGATTTTGGATATCTACAGATTAACACCAATTCCGTTTCTGGGTGAAGATGGAATCAGTATGTTTCAATAAAAACCCCATACATCGCAATCAACAGTCATCGAGATGAATTCTTGGAAATGTCAGAGATTGATTTGAAGGCTTGTCAAGCAAAAGATGATTTTATATGCTACAACAAACAAGAAATGTTCTCTTCAAACACTAGCTGTGAAATGCAGATGTTTCATAATAAAACTGATTCTTCTTGCAGATTAATAAAGGCAGAAAGACCGTTAGTCTGGCTAAGGACACATGTCAAAAACCACTAGATTTTTACAACAAGATCCACGCTAACATTATCTGCAGTGTGTTTAGACGGAACCTCCAATATAAATTCGCTTTGGAGAAGGAGGACCCACATAGTTCAACTAGATCTACCTCTACAAGTGTGATGGAAGACCCGAACCTTATATACAAGGAGTTGTATCAACGAGAAGCTCAACTCTTTCCTCCCAATAGTTTAAAATTACAACATAATCTTAAAAATATTGAACATCATCATATTGCTATTTATATTGCATTAATTATACCTGTTACTCGTAGAGTAAACGGGTATACTAGATTCGTTGAAAACTATGTAACAGATAGAAGGAAGCGTTTGCGACCCTAAAAAGTGTAAATATTCGTGATCAGGATCAATAGCGAAGTCGATTGTGCCATGTCCGTCTGTCCGTCCGACCGTCCGTCCGTCCGTCCGTCCGTCTGTCCGTCCATCTGTTCCTCCGTCCGTCCGTATGAACGCTGAGATCTCAGGAACTATAGCAGATACAAAGTTGAGATTAAGCATGAAGATTCTTGAGGTCCCGGGACCTGCCACGCCCACTCTAACGCCCACAAATCGCGATAAACTAAAATCGCTGAAATCTCGAAGACTACTAGAGCTAGAAAGCTGAAATTCAGTATGTATGCCTGCGCATCTTTTAGTGGTACTATTATCTAGCCACACCCACCCATACGCCCACCAAGCTCAAAAGACGGTTTTCGCATTTTCAAGAAAACCTGATATCTCGGTAACTATAAGTGATAGAAAGTTCGGATTAAGCATGTAAATTTTTATGATGCCCCAAATGCGAATTGTTTTTTAGCCATCCCACCCATCTAGCCACGCCCACCCTAACGCCTACAAAACCCGAAAAACCAAAAATACAAAAATCTCGGGAACTAAAAGAGCTAGAAAGTAAGGCTTAAGAACACGTATTTTAGGGATGCCGCTGCAACTTCCCACGAGATTTCCCTAGAATTAAATACTAGAATCACCACCATTCAAGAAGCATCGTTGCAAAAAGAATGGCTCCATGTTCCATCGGAAAGCAATGCTGCAGACATAGCATCGAGAGGAATAACTGGTTCCAAGTTCGTCTTGCATGGTCCACCCTCAAAATGACCATTACCATTTGTTGCGGCAAAATCAAAACGCCGTTCAATGCCCCAGGAAAACCCAGAAATTTTGGTAGCTACCACGCAAAGTCCGAATTGGCTTACTGGTATAAATCACGGGAATTCATTCGATAAAGTACTTAGAATAATAGCCTACATCATGCGTTTCAAAAGGAAATCTTCAGACACAACAACAATGGTGAAATTTGAAGAGTTGGAACAATATCGAAAAATAGTTCTCCGTTTAATTCAGCACAATAATTTTAGCGCTGAAATCAAAGAATTAAGGAAATCCCGGGAAGTCGAACGAGGCAGCAAACTCAGCGCCCTAACGCCTATCTTGGATCACGATGATCTCATTCGAGTTGGAGGCAGATTGGAAGCATCTGAGCTTTTATTCGATGCAAAACATCCTGTGCTACTGCCATATAAGAGTCAAATTAATATTTGAAAAAATCCACAAGGAAAATATGCATTGTGGAGCCCAAACCCTAATAGCCACATCAAGGCAAAGATATTGGGCAATAAAGGCAAAAACAATAGCTCGAAATGTCATTGTAAAATGTGTCAAATGAACCAGAGCTAAACCAAAGTTAATGGAACAAATAATGGGCCAGTTACCACCCTTAAGAGTCACACAAGCTCGACCATTTCTTAATTCTGGAGTTGACTATTGTGGACCATTTAAGATTCACTATAAAATTCGTGGAAAGAAACCACATACTGCCTACATAGCAATCTTTTGTTGCTTTGCGACCAAGGCAGTGCATTTGGAATTAGTCAGCGATTTAATCACAGAAGCATTCTTGGCAGCACTTCGTCGATTCATAAGTCGTCAGGGGAAATGTCAGATAACGCTACGAATTTTGTTGGAGCAAGGAATAAGCTTCAAGAATTGGAAGAAGCTAACTTCTCAGAAAAGGTCAAAAGGGTATAGTGGAGACATGCAATAATAAAGGAGTCAACTTTAAGTTTATCCCACCAAGAGCACCGCATTTTGGAGGACTTTGGGAAGCGGCGGTAAAATCGGCAAAACATTTATTATTAAAGAATGTTACTACAGCGGATCTGACCTATGAAGAATTAGAAACTGTGATAGTGAAAATTGAAGCTATCATGAATTCAAGACCATTTGCTCCGATATCGACCGATCCAAAAGGTATGACGGCACTTACCCCTGGTTACCATTAACCATTACCCCTGGAATCATTAATCATTAACTGCACAAGCAGATAGTGAGCCAACTCAGCAACCACAATCATTGGGACAGAGATGGCAAGCCGTCTCCAAGTTAAAGCATGCGTTTTGGACTCAATGGTCAACTGATTATCTGTAACAACTTCAGCATCGTCAAAAATGGAGAAGATGCTCGGAAAACGTAAAGGAAGGAGCATGAGTGTTGATAAAGGAAGACAATACTCCAGTTTTGCAGTCGGCCATTGGGACGAATAATTAAGACAATTCATGGCAAGGATAATTTTGTCAGAGTTGTAGAAGTCAAAACGAGTAAAGGAATGTTTAAACGAGAGAGAGAGATGAGGAACGTGTTTATACGCATCCAGATGCCGCAGAGGAAGATGAGAATAAACCTGAAAGCGAAAAGGCCAAAGAAATCAACAATGCCTTCACTAACAATGGCGTTAATAGTTATGCTTCTTCTTTTACCTTTAGTAGCAGCACAATCGATTAACGCTACTCAATTTGCATCGAAATCTGGAATATCCTTTGAAAGGATTGGAAAGAGTCAACTTGCGAAAACGGATTGGACTTTAATTGTTTACTATAATTTGCAACCCTACTGGAACATAAGCTTAAAAATATTGAACATCATCATATTGCTATTTATATTCCATTAATTATACCTGTTATTCGTAGAGTAAACGGGTATACTAGATTCGTTGAAAACTATGTAACAGATAAAAGGAAGCGTTTCAGACCCTATAAAGTATATATATTCTTAATCAGGATGAATGGCGAAGACGATTGATATATGTCCGGCTATAGGTCCGTATGAACGCTGAGATCTCAGGAACTATAAGAGATACAAAGTTGAGATCAACCATGAAGATTCTTGAGGTCCCTACGCAGCGCAAGTTTATTACAGCATCCTTCCACGCCCACTCTAACGCGAAAAACTAAAATCGCTGAAATCTCAGGAACTATTAGAGCTAGAAAGTTGAAATACAATCTTTAGATGCTAGCGCATCTTATAGTGGTGCTTTTATCCGTCCGCACCTACCTATACGCCCACCAAGCTCAAAAGACGGTTTTCGCATTTTCAAGAAAAGCTGATATCTCGGTTACTATAAAAGATAAAAAGTTCGGATTAAGCATGCAAATTTTTAATGATGCCCCAAATGAAAATTAATTTTTTCCCATATAGCCACGCTTACCGTAACACCCACAAAATCGGGAAAACCAAAAATGCAAAAGTCTCGGGACCTAAAGGACACGTATTTAAGAGATGCCAATGCAACGTGTCCCGAGTCCCGTCCACTCTATCTCCCACTAACCGCGGAAAACTGTGGCGTCTAACTTATTTCTGTTAATATCTATCGATTTACCAAAGATTTTTTAAATCGGAACATTATTTCGCTATTTATCAAGATCTTAAGGTTATAAGGCCTCACATGGGCAGTGACGTCACTATCAGTTACTCAACGTGCTTTCTGTGACAATACGTGGCGCCTTGTGAATTTCCACAAGCAAAATGAATATTTTTAAATTGTGTAAAACAGTAACGGGTATCTTATAGTCGCGGCACTCGACTATAGCGTTTCCTCTTGTTTTATAATTTTTTTTTTGTTTTTAATTAGTTGTTTTTGGTTGTTAATCAATTGTTTTTTGTAGTTAATCAGTTTTTTTTTGTTTTTGTTTGTTGTTTAGCAGTTGTTTTTTTATTGTTATTCAGTTGTTTTTATTGTTAATGTAAAGTCGAAACTTGGACAGTGAATTTTGAAGTTAGCAGTCCCGATTTTTATACCATCCAGAAACCACACAGTCAAACGTATATACGGTACATTTGTTTTCAACCCACTAACTGTAAGGCATTCAAAACGATCGGTTATTGACTCAGTCCATTGACAAAGGAAAGTAGAACTGAAAGACATAAGCGAACCACAGTTGTATGTATTAAAATGTTGAACTCTCTCGTAGTTGTATTGTATTTGTTTCCCCAAATACTTGATAAGTTCTATAGGTGGTTGTGGCTTTCCGAAACTATCAAAATAATGTATATCGTTTCTATTTTTGTTATATGCGATCCAATGTGAACCACTTGATTGTGAATCATCTAAATTTACTATACCACATTCTCGAATTCTTGAAGAGTGTGTAAGTAAATCCCTCATAAATACTCCTCGAAAATTTGGTATATATTTTTGAGCAAAAGTTGTGATGTCTATATTTGAGTCCATTGTGGTCCATTGATATTACATGGTCTGACATATTAGTTTTTTTGCTTCTTAATACGATTTCCCTTACTATATGGTTTCTATAACCGGTTCTATACGGTTTGAGATATAACCCTTCGCTTACAGCAACACTTTCAATTTTTCTATTATGTCGTTTTTTCTCCTCCATATCTACTTTCGCCATTCTATCATAGTTTATTGTTTTTGCAATGGCTGCACTTCCTCTAGCTAAACTACCGAGGGCACTTAGGGCAGTCAAAATAAATACGATTGGTGAAAATCCACCAATTTTGGGTACATTAATTATTTTTGGTAATTTCACTTTTTTCTTTGAACCTATTGTCGATTGAACTGATTTTCGTGCAATTTTAATTGCACTCATAATGTCCAATGGCTTTTGTTTTTTTAATGTTCTAGTAGCAGCGTTAATAACAGTCGACAGATTCGTCATCTTTACTTTTTTCCTTGTCGTCTTCCCTTTACATTTACTTTTTTGATTTTGATATCCCCATTCCAAATTTTTTCTTTGCTTTCATAATGTTGCTCACCAAATATGCTGCTGCTTTTTCACCAAGAGTACTGTCTGGTTCTTTTACACGTGACCAAGCTTTATCAATTAATATAGAGTCTGCAATGTGACGTTCATGTAAATCCATTTTATGGGAATATGCTATATCATGTTCTTTACAAGCCTCATCCAGTTTATTTATTCCTTGATCACCTCGTTACAAACGTTTTTCTAACTGTGTACCCGGCCCACAAAATTTATATCCTGGTATATGGGCTTCAAACGGTAATGTTTTAATTAAGTTGTTGACAAGACCACCACCTCGTTTACAATTGAAAACATTAATGAATCGATTATTAAAACGCTTCCCCATTATATTGATGTTTAATCATCAAAGATTTATCATCGAATGAGGTATATAAGCTTTAAGAATGCGTTTAATAAGTCAAAAACAAAAAATTATCGTTAGAAATATCAACGATGAAAACGAGAAAAAACAACCCCCACGCAATAGTTCTCTCTTACCTAATACAATAAGAGCTCTTATTGTTGGACCTTCAAATTGTGGTATAACCAACATTATGCTCAGTTTGCTCATACATTTGTATGCACTAAAGCATTAAGGTGGACCGTAATTCATTTTATCACTCGGTGTAAAAAGAAAACCTATAAACTTTGAAATCCCAAAATTTACGGCCTATTGAATAAAATAAATAAATTTGGCAATATATAAATAAAAAAAAAAAAATAATAATAATCGAATATAAATTGTGTGTGGTAACCTTTTAGGACCACCCTAATTGATTTGCACTTGAAGAAGCCGTTTGAGCTCATAATTTTGGTGTTCTTTGTGCCTGATTCAGTGCAAAAAAGTGCCGTTGGACTTGCGCCAATAGAGAAGTGCGCATCATTGTCGGTACAGTCGACAAATTACCGTACATTTTTTCAGTTCTCTCTTTCGTCATTTGTGCAAAGCAAATTACCCACCCCCGTTTGCATTAGTTTGCTTGCGCCTTGGTGCTGATGCTGCGTCGGCAGCGAATTTCGTTGTTGTTGCTTTGACTTTGTTGGCTGCGTGAACAGTGAATTTTATTCCTTTTTTGTCTTTGCATTTTCGCTGCTTGGGCAGCGAATTCGGTTCTTTAATTTTGCGTTATTTGTATTGCTGCTTGGGCAGTGAAATTTAACGCTCATCTAACACACACATACACAAATATATACAGTGCGTGTATCGCTTAGTGGTGTTCGGCGACTCTTGTTCGAAATTTAACCTGTCCTCACACACACATACATATATTTACATAGTGCATGTGCCTTGCTTCCTGGCATTCGGCCACATGTGTTGCATCAATTCCTTTTTCTCAAATACATTTAATTTCGTTTGGATAATTGTTGGCTGCTATTGGAGCAGAGTTGTATAATTATGACGGGAAAAAAGGGAAAGGGTCAAAACAGATCGCTAGGTGAAACCACTTTAAGCCACCTCGATACATTGTTAATGCAGTATAAAAATGTTATTGCTGATATAGAACGCGTTAAAGCTACAGTTCAAAAGTACTCAGGGTACGTCGACCCAGTAGAAATTGATTGCCGTTTAGAAATACTAAACCAATATGTAGAAAAAGCCTTTAAAATTAACCAAGATTTGGATGACATTAATACAGATCTTGTGTCTCGAGCTCACTTAGAAGACTTATGTGCGAAAACAAAGGCTTTATTAAAAAGCAAAGGTACTAGGCACCACATCATCGCCAACACTCAAGCAAATTCAACCATGCTTGGCGTAACTTCTGCTCAAGGCAAAAACTTCCTCACATGAAGCTGCCAAGGTTTAGTGGGGAGTATACGGAATATAAAAATTTCATTGGACTTTTCGAAAACCTCGTTGAGAATGACCTTTCTCTTTCAAATGTTGAAAAATTCAACTATTTGTTGTCTTGCTTAGAGAAAGAGGCTTTAGGCACGGTGAAATCGTATCAAGTAACCGATGCTAATTACCCAAAAGCGTTATCTGCCTTAAAAACGTTTATGATAATAGTTGTCTTATTGTTTTTGAAAGCGTTTCGAAGCTGTTTGAACTCCCGCAGATGCAAGGCCCTGCTTCATCCTCTTTACGTTCCTTGATAGACACAGTAAGAGCCGTGTATGGGTCATTATTGTCATTGGGAAATGACAAACAGATTTCTAACGCTATGCTCATACACTTAGTTATGAGCAAAGTGGATTCTTCGACACGGTCAAAATGGGAGGAGAATTTAGATTATACAAAACTACCACTTTGGGATGATTGCGAAAAGGCTCTTAATAAAAGGTATCAGCACCTCTCTGCTGAAGAAAATTCTTCAGGAGGGGGAGCTCGTAGAGCTCTAAAATATGAGCGTAATGGAGGAAAAAAGGGAGGAAGAACTTCGCTAGCAGTGGCTAAGCCAAATGAACAGCATAAAACAAAATGCTCGTTTTGCAAATCGGATGACCACTATATACAATCTTGTTCTTCTTTTGCTGCTATCCCATGCAATAATCGTTTCAAGTTCGTTAAATCATTTCCTCTGTGTATAAATTGCCTGCGAAAAGATCACACAGTTACAGCCTGCAAGTCGAGCACTTGCAGAGTCTGTTCTAAGCCGCATCATACTCTATTGCATAGGTACGAAACAGAAACTCAAGAGGAATCCTCTAGACAAGCTCTACCAGCACAAACTTCGACATCTAGTTAATTATCATCCACTAATCTTGCTGCTAGTGATTCTGATCAAGTCATATTAGCTACGGCATTAATAAAAATAAAGGATCAGTTGGGATCTTACCACATGGCCAGAGCGCTCTTAGACTTGGGTCTCAGGTAAATTTTATTACCGAAAACCTTGCTAATACTTTGAAATTACCCAAATCTCGAAAAGACATCAATTTAATAGGCATAGGTAAGACAAAATCTGCCATTCGGCATGCCGTTCAAACTGATATTGCCTCTCGTTTGAATTCCTTTGAAACAATGACTGAATTAAGTATTCTAAAATCTATCACTTCCTATCAACCCGAAAGGCTTGTGGAAAATGTCAACATTCCAAGTCATATTGATCTCGCTGACCCCCTTTTCCATAAGCCGCAACGTGTAGACTTGCTGCTTGGGGCAGACGCTTTCTTCGATCTTCTTAAAGATGGGCGTCTAAGGTGTAAACAAGATTCTTTAACTTTACATGAAACAGTTTTTAGTTGGATTGTGTCTGGTCGTTGTAAAACCCCACAAAATAAGAAAGCTTGCTCAACATCATTATTAAGTATAACTGGTGAATCGTCGTTAGACTCAATTGTTAAAAAATTCTGGGAGCTAGATCAAGTTCCAAAAACCTCGAATCCAAATTTATATACCCCAGAACAGCTTCTTTGCGAGCAATCGTTTACTGAATCTGTAAACAGATTACCCTCGGGCAAGCTGAGTGTTAAATTGCCGTTTAAATCTAGTCCGACGTGTCTTGGCTCGTCCTTTGAGACAGCTAAGAGACAATTTCTTGGCTTGGAGAGGCGAATGGGAAAACAAGCAGAAGTCCGTGATATGTATATCTCCTTTATGAAAGAATACATCTCACTAGGTCATATGAGTGCAATCAATAACACAATCCCGTGTGAGCCACATTATTTTATCCCATACCAGTGTGTGCTCATACCGCAAAGCTCTTCAACAAAGTTGCGAGTCGTGTTCGATGCGTCAAGCAAAACATCATCACAAATATCGCTTAATGATACTCTTATAGTTGGTCCAACGATACAACCATCTCTCTATGCAACTTTGCTTCGTTTCCGTTTACTTCCTTACGCAATTACTGCTGTAGAGAGAACCCTAACGACCAATTGCAAATTTATCAATTAAATACAGTTACATATGGCACTGCGTCAGCACCTTTTTTGGCTATCCGGTGTCTGAAATACTTGAGTGATGCATAAATTAGCATCGAAATCAATTGCTAATGATTTTTATGTCGATGATTTATTAGCGGGTGCAGAAACGCCAGAGGAATTAGGATTGTTGCAGCAGGAGTTGGACTCTGTATTAAAACCATTTGGATTTGGTTTAGCCAAATGGTCATCAAACTGCCAACAATTTCAAGTTTCTGATGCATCCACTCCAATTGGGTCGCAAGATGACACCAAAACTTTGGGTTTAATTTGGAATCCCAAAAGTGATGTGTTTAAATACTCCGCAGACCATCTTTCACTCGATTTCGTGCCGACTAAAAGGTCTATTTTATCGTTTGTAGCACGTTTATATGACCCGCTTGGATTATTGTGTCCAATTGTCACTCGCGCTAAAATTCTTATTCAAGAAATCTGGCTGCATAAATTAGATTGGGATGAAGCATTGCCCACAGATTTACTTGAACAATTCAAATCGGTAACTAATTGCTTTTCAAATCTAGATTCACTCAGCATACCTCGTCATATTGGAATCGCAAAAAATATGAAATATCAAATTCACGGATTCGCCGATGCGTCAAAGGGAGCATACGGCTGCTGCATTTATGTCAGAGTGGAGCATCAGGAAAGAACGTTTACACGATTGCTCACAGCAAAATCCAGACTAGCACCTCTCAAAACTAAGTCAGTAAGTCGTTTGGAGCTCTGCGCTGCTCACTTACTGGCAAAGTTATGGAGTGAAATTAGGGATATGTTGAACTCACCAGTGGACGACTTTTTTTTGTGGTCGGACTCAGAGGTGGTGCTGTATTGGATTAAGAAGCACCCATCACACCTGCACACATTTGTTGCGAATCGTGTAGCAGAGATTCAAGAATTGACTTCGCAAGCTGTCTGGCATCATGTGCCTACCAGCGCGAATCCAGCGGACATCCTTTCACATGGCTGCTCAACTAGTGAGCTCGTGGAATCAATTTGGTTTACGGGCCCAAACTTCTTAAAGGAAAACCGAGCCTATTGGCCAGTAAATCACCACCTGGAACCCCCCAAAGATCTCTCTGTGTTAGAGATGCGGAGAGATACCACAGTCTTGATCGCGGCCGATGCACTGAAGAATCCATTTATGGATCTGGTTAACAAGTCTTCATCATATTTGAAAATTCTGCGCATCATGTCATACATGCTTCGATTTATTAATGGGAAATCGCACAAGCAGACTTCACTCGTGCCATCAGCAGAAGAACTTCGTTGTCTGCATTGCAGCGAATCGAATTCGCAACTGAAATTACAAAGCTACAAAAATCCTTGATTTTACAACCATCCTATCAGAAACTTAATCCATTTTTGTATCCTCATCAAGCTGTCAAGCATTTGTGGTGGCTGCTCAGAGTTGGCGGTCGTTTGCTGAAAGCGCCTATGCCACACAATGCTAAATTCCCGTTACTCATGCCAAAAGATTGCCGTTTCGTTAAATTATACCTACAATATTTACATCATTCAAATTGTCATGCAGGTCTACGTGCCTTGGTGGCTATTCTTCGGCATGAAATTTGGTTGGTGAACGCTCGTCAAAGCTTGTAATAGCATTACCTTAAGAATTAGAGGGAAGTCAGCTGTAAAGATGTCTATTGCCATATTTGTTTGCTTTGCCTCTAAGGCTGTTCACATAGAACTTGTTTCAGACCTCACTTCTAAATCATTTATTATGTGTTTGTCTAGGTTTGTCGGCCGGCATGGGCGGGCACAGAAGATCTACTGCGACAATGCCACCAATTTTGTCGGTGCCTCTCGGATGCTTCAAGAGTTCAAGGATCACTTCTTTACCAACAAGGATGCCATAATGGAATTTGCTGCCACCCGAGGAATCACTTTTTCGTTCATTCCGCCCCGAGCGCCGCATTTCGGCGGCCTCTGGGAGGCGGCCGTAAAATCGGCCAAAGGATTAATGATCAAGGCCGTGGGAAGTGCAGTGCTCCGGCAGGACGAACTGAACACCGTGCTGGTGGAGGTAGAAGCCATTCTAAATTCAAGGCCCATGGTCGTGGACAGCTCCAACCCCAACGATGGCGAAGCAGTTACCCCAGCCCATCTGTTGGTCGGGACAACGCTCGTTGCGCTGCCATTCGTGTTCAGTCAGCCAGTAACAGACGACAAACTGAGCTACTTAAAGAGATGGCAACTGATATCCGCCATCAAGCAACGGTTTTGGGTAGATTGGCAACGCGATTACGTCCTGAGTCTACAGCAGCGGCAGAAGTGGCTGAGCGAGAGCCACAACATCGAAATCGGAACTATCGTCGTGGTCCACGAGGACAACAGTCCGCCGCAGCAGTGGCTGCTAGGAATCATCGAGGAGGTGATCAAAGGCTCGGATGGAAAGGTTCGAGTGGAAGTCGTCAGAACTAAATCTGGCGTGTATAAGCGTTCTATTCATCGGTTAGCTCCTTTACCAATTGAGGAATCTTGAAGCCCTGCAGCCGTTCAACGCGGCCGATGTTTAGTCATTTCATTTCATGTTTAGATATATTCAATAACAACTTAAATAATTGCTCATATAGTTGCATACATTTTTATAAATACGCTTAAGCTTAAGTTTACTTTGTTTACTCTTGAATTACTACTCTTAAGGAACATATCTACATATGTAAATTTACTCTGTGGACTTTTGAATTGCTACTCTTAAGGTACATATGTATGTACAAATTGCGCTCTTTAATTGTTACGCTCACTTTGTCACACATACTGGAATTTGCATGCTTACACATAAACGCGCAATTATGCGAGCGCATTAGTTCTAAAGCCAAATGAATTGGAAATTAAAGGGCACTTGAGAAGAACAACTGAACCATAACGCATCAACTTTATTGTCTGTCCCGTCCGTCTAAGCGAGTTGGCCTACCGTTAGTATTCAACTTGGACCTTTAGTTGCTTGTGGCACAGGACCACTTTAGAAGGACGTTCCCGTTTTGGACATCCATTTTTTGGCGCCACCGGGTGGACCCACTCCAGACTTGGCGCCCCCGGGTGGACCCTTTCCAGACGACTCTTTGGGACATCAGCAAGTTGGCCACAACTTCGGCATTTTATTGGATTTTCAATTTCCAATCTCATCTTGCGAGTTGGAACATATGGATTTTACTCTGACCAGGAGTGCACAGGTAACGAGTGAAAGTGAATTACGAGTTATAAAGTGCATGTTATGTAACAAACTTAATAAAATTTGTGAAAATCATTGTGCGGCAAAAAAAAATAAAAATTTTCAGGCCTACGCACATATACGAGGTGTGTTCAAAAAGTAAGGTGACTCTTCAAATTTCGCGAATTTCAAATTTTTCGATTATCGAAACCTTTTAGAAGTTATACGAGGTGTGTTCAAAAAGTAAGGTGACTTTTCAAATTTCAAATTTTTCAAATTTTTCGATTATCTTCAGTTTTGGGAACAAGAAAAAGTCACATGGGGCCAAATCCGGTGAATATGGTGGCTGAGGCATTATTGTGGTGTTGTTTTTGGCCAAAAAATCCAAATCCTTTGATCCATATTTTTCGATAGCAAAAAATCGCCGAGCTCCGCAAAACAACTTGTAACTTTACGCCTCTCACAACCAAACAAAAGAGGATGTTCCATTGAAACTTGGTACAGATGTTAGGAAGAGTGTACCAATATAACAAAACAAAAAAATCGATAATCGAAAAATTTGAAATTCGCGAAATTTGAAGAGTCACCTTACTTTTTGAACACACCTCGTACATATGTATGCACTAAAGCATTAAGGTGGACCGTAATTCATTTTATCACTCGGTGTAAAAGAAAAACCTATAAAACTTTGAAAATCCCAAAAATTTACGGCCTATTGAATAAAATAAATAAA